ACCGAATTCTTTCTTCTACAGTATTCTGTTAAATTCTTACTTTGAAAATAAAGAAAATAGTAATATTACACTAGCTGTTTCCTGGCACTCCTCAAGAACCTTCATCACAGCTACAATGCCTATAGTGCAGTTATCCACCAAAGAGAAACCTAATTCTCTGGAATTACTACTGCAGCCTTAAAGTGCCTATGCTGCCAAAGCAGTCAGGAAGGTAATAGATTTGTTTATGGACTAGACAAAGCTTAATTAAATGAGGCAGCTTTGAAGAACAGTAAATCTTCTCTCCTCCTGCCTTTCCCTCCCCCTTTTTTTTCCTAGAGTATCTTTCTCCTAGTGGCTTTCCTCTTCCTAATAATCCCATCACAAATGACAGATATGTTATCAGTCATCACTGGGATTTGACACATTCTTAATACCTGTCATGACAGCTCTGAAGTCTGCATGCTACCCCATTGTATTCCAAGGCATTTGCAGGAGGTAATGGACACATCAAATCTCAGTCAACAGCTCTGCTTTATTGGACTGCTGTTTGCCATACAGAAGCAGATGCTTAAAAAAAGCTAATCTGTGATTATTCAAAATTACATGCTGAATAAGTAAATATAAAACATTACAAATAGCTTTTGTACTCTTTATGCCTACCTTCATCTCAAGATAGCTTGGCCATGTTGTAGAATTTATTATCATATATTTATTGATTAGAATGCTTTTATATATATAAAAAAGGTATTTGTATTGGTAACAGTGAAAAATATTAACAAATAAAGGTCTTTATTGAAAGGATTAAAGAATTATGCTGGTAACATGGGAATGTATTGCTGTGCCTATGCAGTCTCTGGTTCCTCAGCCCTCTGCTTTTTATTTGAGTGGAGAACCTGATGCAAAAGCAAGCTGCAAGTCAAGGCTAGAAGCAGAGTTAACGTCATAGACAAATATATGAATTTACATGAAAACAATGGGTTTGTGAAGTGTGTCATTTGAAGTAGTTGTCAATATTATAAAGTCCTTACAAGTCCATTCCTAATGTCATCTGATTTTTATGGACCTCTTAATACAGGTAGCTTTTTTTTCTTTTATTTGTTGTTGTTGTTGTTGTTGTTTAAGCCCCCAAAAGAGCCATGATGGATACGGCACTCCACAGAACAAAGTCAATATTCTAAACAGATATTTTTTTTAATTTTTTTTTTTTTTTCTGACTCTGGTCATTTGTGTGCCATACTTTTTAGGCACAAAAATAAAATAACTTCTTCCTGTGACATTTATTTGGAGACAAACTTAAAGACTCTCATTTTAGCTGAGCTGCTGTAAAACATCATATTGCCAGTCCCTGCCAGCAGCATATATAAACTGCAAGACAGCAGCATGCCTTGTCATTAGTAAATGCAATAGCTTATTGTTCTCGATGCATTTACAGTTTTGCACAAAAGCAGGGGAAAAAAACTGAAACAAAAACAAAAACCCACACAGACTAGAGACAATGCTGCCCTGTGCACACAAGTAACTTAAGGCCCTTTCAGCGAGGCAATAAAGCTAAAGCAGAGCTGCGAGTAGCATGCTGGAGTCAAAAGGAAGTGTCCCGCTGACATCAATGAGCTTCGGAGGTTTGGAGTCAGTCAGACAGGCAGAACACGTTCAGCAACCTAAATGACTGCACATCCTTTGGACACAATTGTTAACCAATACTAAGGGTATCAAAAGATGTTCATTTTCAAGAAATTGATGAGCAAATTGGTTTTTGTTGTAGTTTTTTTTTGTTTGTTTGTTTGATTGTTTTCTCTTTTGTTTACAAACAGCACAACTGAGAACCACAAGAGTAGGTCTTGCACCTGAAAGCACTGGGGAGCAAACTGATGGAATCTGGGGGCTGTGGGGGCTCATTCTCAGGGCATGCCTTGACAGCACTGTAACTCCTGGTCAAAGGATCTCAAACCCTGTAATAACGGCATGGGTCAAGTATAAACTCACCCTGCCAAACTTGTATCAGCAGGCTTCCTACCAGATCAGATATTGCCTGTTCTTGAGCAGCCAACATAAAAACGTACCACCAACACTGCTGGTATCGTATCTCCTGATCACAACCTGGTGCCAGGGCCTGCTCTGGATCCCATTTGTGCTGCTGGCTGATGCTGGGCTGCACTTGCCCATGGAAGCAGGCCCCATCGAGAAGTCTTCCCAGGAAATATTGCGAGCTGGCTGCACTCCAAGGAGCATTACAGCTTCTCCTGCTGTCTGCACGTCCAGTTATTCCTTTCATATCCACCCTCAGCTGTAAGCAAATCAACATGCCAATCCCTTGGGACACATGGCTTAGCTTATACTTAAGACTTGCCATTCGGGTTTGTGCTTTGGACATTGATTTCTATTGTCTCAGCTATCACTCAACAAAAGGGCATTTAATTGCTGTCTCATTTAGTCCAGGGGGAGGGGGCGAACAACTTTTACCAGCCCTCTGATTGATGGCAGCCATTAGCACCTTCCAGCACAAAGCGGACTTATTAGAGGCCCCATTTACATGTGAAGTTCATTGCCACACAAGTGAAGCAGAGCTGCAGCTACGCTGGCTTTAACAACTTGAGAGGCAAAATCTTTGTATGAAATGAGTCTGCAAAAACGCTTATGCTAGCCGCCGATTTAAAGGGAAAACTTCGAAGATAATGAAGTTTGAGGAAAGCTTCTGAAGTGAAAGAAAAAAAAAGGGAGAAAAAGAAAATTTAGGAGAAAAGCTTACCCAGTTTTTGTTTCTCTTTTTAAGCACTACCATGTAGTTGCTTAAAGGGTTGTAAACCAGCAACCAACCTGATTTATACGTATTTACACAAGATAACTCCAGGAAGCACTTCATATCCCCCATGCATCAAAGTTTATAATTGCATACCATGAAAGGCACTGCTGAAGAATTCCATAAACTATTTTGCCCCCTTATGTAAGCATTTTCTATTTTCTTTGTGATGGAGGAATGAACAAAATTAATATCCACATTTAATATCGTACATGTTCTGTAGAGCAATGAGCCACATACTCTGGTGTTCTAACCAAACTGCTGACCGTGTATTTTTAGTACTCGGCTCATTTTATTAAAAAGCACAAGGATGCTAATTTTCCTTTCAAAGGAACAGACCTCAAGAAACAACTAGATCAGTGAAGTCTTCTTGAAAAGGAAATACTACCTTTAATCAGCACAGTTTTGAGCAACTCGCAGTAATTTCAGTAGAAGTCTAATGCAGACTTTGAAAGTTTTAATAACACAAGTTATCAAAACGTTTAATCAATGCAAAACCTAAGACCAAACCCATTTTGAACATCAAACTTCCCAGTCCGACGCACAAACACGCCAAAGTACCACGTATTATCAGACACACCTTGGTGCATTTTTTGAAGAATTTACCATCCAGGAGGCAGATCACTGAAGGCTGACTGCACAGGGAGACGACGCAGAGACAAACACGCGAGCACTTGTGGTGTCTCTGTTGTGGGAGCGCTAATCCCAGTCTGGCACGGAGGCTTTCTACAACCATGCTAGCTATACCCGCAAAAAAGCGCTTCTGGCTAGTCTCAGAAGATATCCTGTGTTATTCACGTAATTGATTTAAGATTCCATAGCGAAATTACAAGAACTACTCTGCTATTACTCCCTTTCAGAGAGTCCACCCTTATGTTCGCATCCTCCGCAGGACATTCCTTCATGATACTCATCTTCCCCCGTGCATATTTCTAAATAAGCTTAAATATAGTAGCTGTTTTCGTGCTTTTTTCTGCATTTTGAAAAATCATGGTCTTAGGTATCTAAATGAATGTGCGTAGGAGGGAATGTACTTTTTTTGTTTTAAAACAGCTGTCTTCATTGTTATTCATTCTGCAGCTCACATGCATGTAAAACTATATTTTGATCCCTCCCCTTCCCTGTAGTTTTCAAGGGGAAGTAAAAACTTTATACACAGAAGCTGAGTGTAAAAAACAGCAACAAAGAAAAACCTCCCAAACTGGCATGTAGCCAGTTTCTAGCTAAATGCTATTATACACTTGGTTTTCTTAACTTGGTTCCTTGTAAATTTTATTTTCCTCTCCCATTGTTTCATTTCTCTTCAGTGTCATACAGGAGACACACATTTCTCTTTCTGGAAAGGCTGAGTGCTATCTTCCAAAAAGCACAGTCTATGGATAATTATTACCAGCAGCAAAAGGCTGAGATTTAAGCTGCAGAGGTAATTCCAGAGAAATTCTTCGCATTTCCCTCCAAACTCACACCAGACTGGAACGAGCACTCCAGACAGTGCCACTTCCAGGAACGTCGCCAGCACCAAGCAAGATGTCTAAACGGTTTTAAACTGATTTACGGCTAAAGAACAGACCAAGAGCCATGGTTGAGCAACCCCTCTGTCAATCTTAACTTCAGGTCTCTTTGGATGCTCAATTAAAGAAAATTCTTAGCTGGAGGAAGGGGTTTTACAAGCCAGTTTCTGAGAATCCTGTCAAGACAACACGTGCTAATCAAGGTGAACAGGTCCTGGAAAAGATCTGGATCGAATCTCTCTGATTGTCCTCAGAGATGCAGTCAGACCTGAACACCTTCGACATTCAGTTCAATCACACATCTGCTCAGCATCCCAGTGGGAGTCTCAGAACCCAAGTGCAAAATTAGGGCAAGCACTAGCATGGCAGTCAGGTGGAGCATCTTGCTGGCAGAGGCACAAACCTGCTCTCCTAACAGGCACACCAGCTATAAATAGGTTTATGAATACAGAACCTCTGCCAAGCTGCTCTTTCTTTCTTTTCTTTTTTTTTTTTCCTTCACTAATTTTAATGCCTCTTGCAAGATTGGCTCCTAGAAGTTTTATCTCCATTAGTAGTAATAAACATTTATTATATGCTCCAGCAACATTTGAAAGTTTTGATGAATAGCAAGAAAATTATCGAGAAAATAGAATGATAGCATCCCGTTTTAAAATAAAAATAGATCAAACAAAAAAAAAAAAAAAAAAGAAAAGAAAATGCAAGCTTACCTAAAAACAAAAATATCACATGAGAATTGTGTGCACACCACAGCTTGGGAGAGAAGAGCTGACTTCTGCTGGAACTTCAGGACGAGATGAGGTGGTGTCAGGGTTTAATCTTTTTCAGCTGTGCTCCAGAGGGTACCAGGTAAGCTGCAAAGTTGTGCCCAGAGCTTTTCCCCCTCTGTCTTCTCACCTGGAACAACAGAACATGTTGTCAGAAACCTCAGCACTGTAGTGAGGCATGTTTCGGCTTCAAGACACAGTGATGGGTGTTCATGTTGGCTGCTAGAGATTCGGTATAGCATTATGAAAGGGGAAACCCATTAAAGCTGCCATCGTCAACAAGTGTGGTTCTTTGCCTTTCTCAAGTGCAGGTGCCCTCTCAACTTAAGACATCTTGGGGCAATGCAAAGCGTTAGGAAGATATTTACAAAGCATCCTTACTCTGCCTTCAAAGGGCCACTTTGTAGAAGATAATGATAGGCCCATAAGAAACCTATTCAAGCCTCATCTGTGGCAAGAAGATTTTATGGTAAGAATTTGACTGTGAGCTGCCAATGCTTGGCGGACCAAATAAACCAGTGCTACTTTCAAATGGAGACATTAACCAAAGACTTAAATTACATTGTACTTTTATCTGCTCTCATTCTCTTGCAGCCCCCTTCTTCCCTTTTCCCTTCCAACCCTTAGATAGTTCACCACCCATTTATAAGGATGGATGCCTAAATGAAGCCCTTTATTAAGGCCCAAAGCAATGTCACCTTGCAGTTTCCCTTCACTTCAGAAATTAACTTCTAGGAGCATATTCTTGAAAAGACTACACCTGTACTTATTTCAACTTTCTGGGGAATAATTGAGTATGGAAAGTAAGATTTAGCCTGATGAAATTTTTATTTCCATCTAAAAATAAAATGGAATGGATAGTAAAGATTTTTTTTCCCCCAGCCTTCCTCCTTTATTTTCTTCTGAAAGGTGAAGACAAAAGAGACATATTACAATTCAATTTTTCCCCTATCAGAAATTCCAAGAAACTCACCATCATCTACTTAAGTTTTGAGCTATGTAGAGCAGACTGCTAAATACTTTATATGTTCTGAGCAACCTGACCTCACTGGCCCTGCTCTGAGCAGGGTGTTGGACTAGATGACCTCCAGTGCTCCCTTCCGACTTAAGTTATCCTGTGATTTTTTCCAGCATGAACAAAGACCAGTTTGTACCTCTCAGAAATTCAAGCCATTTTTTTTTTTTTTTAAATATATATGTATATTTACAGCCATTTTTAAACTATATGCATCTTCTCTGACATGGGAGTCTTTCAATAGTCCAACTCTATGAGAGCTTTACATGTGAAAACTCTTAAGAAAGTATTTTTTGAATCTTAAATTAGCAGAAGTTATCTTCTCATGTGCCATAAACTCAAATGATTTAACACATTTAGGGAAAATTAGCATAGTAAGAAAACTAAGAACATATTCTGTGTTCTCACTTAGGCAATAATGAGGAAGAGCTTGAGGGGAAAAAGTGGTAGTATTGACTGTAGAAGAAGAACTGCCAAGTTCACAGTAATACGTTTTCTATCTGTGATTCTGAAATCAGGACGTTGTTTTTAAAATCAGACTGAGCCCCAGTGTGATCTGCAGCTGTCACTGCTGCTTGCAGCAGAGCAGCGGGATCCCTAGCAAGCTGCACACCCCTCTCCCTGCCAGCACGGTACTCCCGTAACACCTTCTCCCTCTGCCACGGCACTGGGACATGCAAAGCCCGCATCTCTCGCACCTCTGGCCGGCTCCACCATGTGCACGAGCTGAACCATGTAACTGGTTGGCAGAGTCCTGAGCAGTTAAAAGATGACTTTTCAAAGAGACCTGCACAAGGCAAACTTGCTCATGATTTTTTCCCCTCCAAATTCTTTGTTATATGGATGTATTTTGATTAGCAGTAGACTCAAGAAATGTAATGAAAAAAAGTTCCACTTCCCCATGTACCGGCTCTCATTAGAGAGGAATAAAGACATAATTTAATAGATGGGATATCCAGGGAATAAAGTGCAAGAATTCCAGTCCAAAGACATCATAAAGACAAAACATTCAACTACAAAACAAACATGCTTCTTCTACCAGTATGATGAAGGAATGCCATGGGATTAGAAAGTTCTCCTCAAGTCCAACAGCAAAGCCTAATTTGTACTGCTTTTCAAAGCTTAACACTCCTGTTATCTCTCCTCTCCAAGAACTGCAGATACTTTTCTAATCACAGCATTGGGCACGTTGGCCATCCAACTCTACCACTGCTACTGCTGCTATGGACCACCAAGGCAAGAAACAGCTAATTCCCTCAGCACACCACTAGCATGGGGCTGCCCAGGAAGGGGATACACATCCTCCTTCATTTTTTCAAGAATCACAGGCACAATACAGCACATTTGCAACTTTATTCTAATAAAATGATTTCAAATAAATTAACAGCATTACCTGAGCCTTAGCCTCAAACAGAATCTGAAGAGAACTGTTGTTAGAAATGGAGGACTTTTCCTTCAACATCCTCCTCACAGTTTGCTTCGATGCTCAGTATATTAAGTAGGGGTGGTTGAGACGTGAAGTTAAATTTAAGAATTCTTAAATCCCTGCCAGCTGAGAACAGCTGCACAGGACACACAGCTGGCATGGACGTCTGCTGAAGGACACGGTTCTGCAGATTACTGGGTTCCCACTAACTTGGAGTGAATGACAGTGCATGGGAAAGAAACCAGCTCACAAGCTGGCCCCCAGCAGCAGAGAGGAAGCTTTGTTCACCCCTCTGGGAAGAGGACAGGCCAGGCTGCTCATATCCCTCCAGGCTCACCCAGAAGAGTACAACATGATTATTTTTTTCTACCACAGCCATTTTTCAAGTAAATTTAGGTGAATAAGCACTGTTGTATCTACAATCCACTCTCACCCATCCAGTCTTTTTTTGTTAATGATACAAAGATGCAACAAAACCTGCTGGTGGTTGCAGCCTGTCCTAATGCAAGTCCTGCCTAGTGTTCCAGCTGGCTAGATGAAGGTCACTGACACGGCTAACACCTCTGACATTTTATAATCAATTGCCAGCATTTACAGAGGAGAAAATACTGCTAGCACTGAGAACACTTGGAAAGAAAAAAATCGTTTCAATTAATCTTAAGCTTGCTCTCTCTGATAGCCAAAACATGCGACAACGATGCAACCTAGCAAGCCAAATATTAGTGAGATTGGTTTCTGGCATCCAATGCCATATTCTGTTTGTATATAAACAATTGCAGTTTATCCGCCTCTTTAAAATAACTGCAACATGATTCATCGTAAGGACAGCAGCAGAGAAACAGTCAAATCCTCGTAGTTGGAGGAAAACATTGAATTCTCAAAGCAACTGACTACGAATATCAGACCAGCCAGCCCTGAACACCTACGGGAGAAATCTCGGACTTTGTGTGGCTGCTCTTGGAAGAGACACTGACCTTTACGTAGCCCTTTGGTGCTAGTAAAGAATGACGAAGCTCTTCCTGTACATCGCACATCCATCCTGTGCCTGCTTTCATCTCGAGGACAGGAACAGGGATTGCTGCCTTTTAAACTACTCTTGATTTTTAGCCAGATGTTATATTCCACCATGACAACTGAGGATGGAGGACGAAGGAGGAGAGATTTTAAAACAATACTTCATAAACAGTCTGCAAGTCCCCTTAGATTTATGAACTGCCAAAATGTTGGATGGGTTCAGCAGCTGGCAAGCCCTAGATTTGACAGCTCTGCCCTTACTCAATGGTTCAAAGCAATCATTTTGAATTAATGCAGGGCCTCAGAGAACAAGGGTACCTCCAACTTAAGACCTCCTAAAGACCACTGTTTCAGACAAAATTCCTCCTCCTGAGAGTCCTTCTCATATTCCAGCTCCTAATGCAAACCATCACTCAGCTCTTGCTTTTCACAGGAGCTGGCTGCTTTATGGTATAATGTTTGTGTCAAACACAATTGCTAAAGGCGCTCCAATTTACACTAATAATTGTCATTAGGAGAAGAAAAAAAATGGTTGTATTTTTGTCAGAAAAGAACCGTTTTCCAATGTTTAGCATAGGCTGGATAATGGTCACAGGCAGCATCTTGGCTCAGCAGGCAAGGCTGGTAGGTGGTAAATGAGAACGTTGCAGAGGGGACAGATATTGTTCGAGGGGGGAGAGGGGACAGTGTCTGCTGAAGGAGGCACCCTGACGGCACAAGATTTATGCATCCACCCTCATGTCAGTCGAGGAGGAGGGAATCATTATGCAGGGCCAGCTGCAGGGGTGTGCGCTGCTGTCTGGAAAAATTAGAAGTCTAGCAACGAAAGATAAAGAAGGGAGAAATGACAGAGTGAATGAAAACCCCACGATAAACCCATTTAGGCTCTCTTCTCCCTGGGATGAAAGATGAAGCGAAATCTCTTTGGCACATGTCCTGGCTGAGACTCCAACAAATATCCCTAAACACCACGGGGATGTGCAATGCCAATGTCCACCAAGATGACCAGTAACTGCACAGTACCGAGCAAGAGTCCCTTTTCTGCATGTTTAACTAAGTTCTGGGGAAAGATCAGAGCATGCTGTAATGCCTTGGATTCAAAGAAGTCTCATCTGCTGCAAGATGCCTTCTTTGTGCAAATACCTTGGAAAGCAATCCTTTCCATCTGAATACCTCGGGGGAGTGGCAGGGGAAAGGGAGAGGGGAGAGGAGGTGACAGGAGCACAAGACATTGAAAAGCAGCCGAGCTCAGGCTCTGTTGTTTGACTGTTATTTGACTTAGAAGTTTCCAATTTCATGTGGCATTCCTCTGCCTAAGAGAATTTCTGGCCGAATCAGGCAGGTCTGCATAACTTCTTGTCCTATTTAAGGTAGAGTTTCTTTTTCTCCCTCATTAAGACACACATAGAGACAAAATACTCCAAATATTTCTTCATTATGCTCGTTAATGAAAACAGCGTCAAGTCAGGCTCTCAAGTCTTCCTGGTACTGGCTAGCAAAGGAATAACGAAAGAGGGAGCAAGAAAAACAATGGTCTTTAATATGCTCCCGAAAGCCCCTGGTTAAAATTCCACCCCTCAGCCTACCAGGGGATGTGCCTGGTAATTTTTCCTTCTGCCTGTCCTGACCACTACTAAAGCCTCGGGGCTCAGAAATTCTTTCTGGAATGCTAATG